TCAGGTTAGATTTTGTTCATTGTCTTGCCAACTTTGTTGTGGTAACGTGATTGTAAACCAAACTTTACGTTAATTCTGACACGCTCGTTACAGATCTGTAGTTTAAACAATTTTGCACCACGTCACAGTCAAACTATAAAGAACAATTCTTGTTAAAAGGGGGAACAGCTTTCTTTGTAACAAATTTATGCTCGGTATATCATTTTTTTGTTATATTTGTCAAACATAAGGTGAGACTATGACGTAATTAGTTTCCAAGAACATGTTTCTTCATCTTAGTGAGCTCACGATATTTTAATTATGATTACAAGATTAATCTGATTTAAATAACTCCCATATTTCAAACTGCATTGTCAGCGTGCCCCATTTAATAATGAATAATGTCCATGTCATCAATAAAAAGTAAAAATTTCTTGTCCAATGATGAATGCTAATTCTTATTTACGTAATCCACTTTTTCAAAATATATATAATTTTTCCCTCGTTTCAGAGAACAATTTTACTGTTTCCTTGGTGTTATTTTACGGCGGTAGGCCACGTTTCCGGGGGCTGAATTTTGGAAAAATTACCTGCGAGAGTTTTTGTAACTGTTGTTCTGGAGTCTTCGGTTTCGCGAGGGGAGTGAGGCAAGATTGTCTGACGACATGTCCATATGAACAGGATCCTTCCATCCTTTTCTCGGACTGGGACCTGTTCATATACGTTCTTGGCAGATGATCCAGAAGTGGTTTGCCATTGCCTTCTTCTGTGTTTGAATGGAGTAATTGTTGGGATGCCACGGAGGAAAACTCCGTGTTGCCTAGACCACGACCTTGCCCATTATAAACATTTTGTAAATACTTTTGATACGTCGGAATGGTTTTTAAGAATATCATATCACTGCTTTTAAAGAAGTCATACATTCTTTATGCATTTTTCGTCTTTCCACTATTTGAGTTACGTGTTTTGGTTTGAGTACATCGTTTTATAAAGTTTATAATAGAAGTGACGCAAATTGTTTTGACAATTCAGAAATGGGCGATTGGGTAAAGTGTCCCATGTGATAAGATAACGTAGGCTCGCTGCTTACATCTCTCACTGTCTGTATAAAAATGACAAAACGGCTTAACAGTATTTTGAAGCCTTTACTCGTTTCAAGCGCATTGGCATACATGTAAAAATAACCCTGTCCTTCTGTTTGTAGAAATGAAAAATACGAACAAATGTTTAACAGATTTTTATTAAATATATTGCGAAATTTTATTACAATTTGTCGAAATACTTCAAATTTGATTCCCCAACGTCAAATTTAACGTATTAAGGTTTCAGCACAAATGTTCGTGGTCGATATTGAACGTGTTAACGCAAATTTGACAACTATTTAACGTTACGTACAAACGTCTCGTTAAAACCCACGAAGACATTTGATACAATTTTATTTGAGCATAAAATATCCTCATTCCCACCGGAAGGTTTTATATTGAAAGCAGTGGAGTTAACACATTTGACCTTCACATTGTGTTGCCCCGTAAGGTGTTTCGCCGGAAGTTGTCTAATGAACTTCCGCTTTCTTTCAATTCATGTGATTTCATTTATCGCCTGCAGCCGTCTTCTGCGTGATTTGCTAGTTACACCTGTGGTAGCAACGTCCGTGTAACAGTGAGGGGAGGGGGAATATGGCTTTTTGTACGGATCACGGAGTAGAAAAAAATACTGGTTCATTAATGGCTTGACGTGGCCTATCACCATAGTCGCAAAATAGACCACTTGCGTTATATTGCTGACCAACAAACTATGGAGTAGAGAGAAGCTAATGGTATCTAAGCCAATCAGTTTTCTGCCTTTATTGGGGAACGAAAGTTTAATGAGAACCGCGTCTCCAAATCGCTACTTGTCTGAGACCCCAAACGTAAATACTACCCAATTTCTTGGCACCTTTGTTTTTCAGTGATTTTTTAAAAATATTATCCTATTTCTGCTTTGTTGTCTTATGTTTTCCAGTTTGTCCATTTTTAGTTCCTGTCTGCAACCGAGAAGCGACACTTGCGTTCAACTTTATCAGTGAACACCCTGTATAAACATTCTTTTGCTTAGGTTCAAATACAATTCTCAATCTTGAAAGACTACCCCTCTTTGTTTCTACCATGAACGTTATCAGATATCAAATTTGTGATGCCATTAACGTGGCGTATTGCATAATGACTTCACAATGCACCGCAAACATCGAAGTGCTTAAATTGTATACCAGGGTTTCTGAAACTCAGTCGCTTCTTTTAACTTGATGGTCGTGTATTTTTTTATGTAGTACTGTGTCACTCTGATTGATGAAAAATGTCGGATAAGGAGCTTTGAAGTGCTGTTACCATTTGGCAGCTTGATGAACGTAAAATCATGAACTAAAATGCGTGTTGTTGATCAGAACTTGGAGGATTGTCTGTTAATTACAACAAAAACTGAGCAAAATGTTTAATTATTATTTAAGCAAAAGCATATCACATATCTTACTGATCGATTTGTCAAAGTTGGTTTAAATATTTAAAGAATTCAGTTCTTACCGCAAAGAAAACACGACACTTCAAGATTTTAAGATTAACTGGTTAATTCTGTTTAAGGAAACAGCCCGTTTTCATTATGGGAATACAAAACAAAAATCCATAAATACACTAAATTGAAAAATGTAGTCACTGGAACATTCGGCCTTAAAAGTTCAAAGATAGGCTTTGAGTAACTCACGAACTTGTTCGTATTAAAAATTTGCTATTACGTTTAAATAAATTGTCCTTGTAACTTTGCTATCTACGTTTCTTTAAACATCGGTGAATGTGATCCTTGAGGACCCTTTCTGGGCGCTTAAGTATTCTTTACCTGTAAAGAAAGACGTGGGCGTTGGACTACTTCCTATAGACGTACAGATGGTGAATCGGATAGTTCAGGTTTTGTTCTTTTGTTGCAGGGTTCCCAGTGAACAGCAAGACCACCAGCCCAGCAATCAAAGGTAGGAAAGTACCCAGCGCTTTGTCAGCAGATTTAAGCCAATGTTTACTATCAAGTGGACTCGAGGGCTGCTATTGGTGGGAAGTGTGATACGTCAGAGTTTTACGCTATTATATACAGACTGAAAACATCAAGCAGTTGAGATTACCGTGTATTGAGTGCGTCTGTACTGTGTTCTGCGGGTGTTGCGATAATATTCTAGATTAAATCGATGTGCCACTGTGATGTAAGCTTAAAGCTGTACCCATTAAAACACATGAAAGCCTGTGGTCTGTTGTTCGTTCGGTGGTTGTGGAACGAATGCTTTTAGGATGGGTCGTCACGCACCGCGAAATCTTGCGCATGCGCGTATATCGAATTCCTAGCAGGGATTTTCTCCTGGTCTGTGGACTGTACTACAATCACGCAAAGTTCACAATTGAATGTAAGGAATAAGGGATTGAATGAAAGGGATAAATATATATGGGAGGAAAGGGACAAAAGTGGACCTTCTGGAGTATAAAATAAAGATTGATGTTTTTCAATTAAGTGAAAGCCGGAAGATGGTTTTGTCGGAGCATTGTTTTTTTGGTCGTAGACTATATCCATTTGGAAACAGCTTGATTCAGTTACACTTGGACTTATTAAGTATTTTTCTACCGTTCAGAAAAGCTAAAAAAAACACATTATAATAAAAAGTTTTGGAATTAGACTAATTTAATTTAGTTGTAATTTCTAAACGGCGACACGGACTTGTCGTCTTGTCCATCCGAAATCTTGAACTGTCTCGTAGCTTTCAGTTGCAAAACTTTGAATTCTGAACGAAAATTGGTCTCCACATGCCATGAATTCTAGATTACGTAGCGTGCGGGTCGAATATGAACCGAGGAATGTGTTGGGTCCTGTTAATATATTACTGGAGCGTAATCCTGCATGACACGTGATTTATAAGACACTTAAAAACTCGTCAACAGTGCGTTCCGAATGTTCAGGGTCCAATTTAGACAGACATAGTAGTGACGTACGCAGAGACTTAAAGCTCAAAAACACCAGGGCGCCATATTTATTTTAATTTATTATGATAACGACCTTGTTTATAATTGTGTGAATGTTTAATGACCACGGTGTTGATTGCTGTCTTCCAGGTGTAACACTCCACCTCAGAGGTTCTCATTTTCGTCATGTTGCTGTTATTGTTGACATAAAAGAGAAACTTTATACAGATTTCATGGATATTTGTTGATACTAAGCTTCATGGAAATCCCAGTTTGGTCGAAGTTGTTTTGAGTGTGAGGGCAATATGAGACATTTCGAATATAACATGGGTTAGATTTACAGACACTTGATATAAATTAACTCGGGGTTTGCAAAGGAATGGGATAAGTGGAGCTTTGTTGTGCACGAACAGTCGACAAGTAGATTTTGACTTGGGAGATTTGAGTTTTGCATCACTACGATTTTTAAATTGTTGATACAAATACGAATTTTTCAAACTTTGGCATTACACCGCCGACACACGTTTCCTGTATCGGGTAAATTATATGAAATGTCGGTAAACTTTTCCAAACTACACTCCGCACATTCCAGACTACCGTCTTGAGAACCTGAAATGGTTACCGTCTTTGATTTTTGTTAGCTGAGGTGCGATGTTGCGGTTGGATACAAGACTTGTCCCTGGGGGTAGTTAATAGTCGCGGTACCTGGCACGAACACCTGGGAGCGAATTCACGTGTCGCGACCAACATTTTGGTGTTTTTATTACCAGAGATTAAATTATATTATTATACACCTGTCTCTGGCATTTGATCACTGCACATTCGATTTATTCACAGTTTCACTGACTATAAAAGAGAGTACGTCGGTTTGGTACAGTTAAAGTATAGAATTTATTACAGTTAAGTGTTTGCGTCTTCGTGACAGCTGGCAGATCCTATGATATACGTCCACTCCACTTCAACTCCCAACACAGACTAATTGTCGGTCAAGTAACGTTGATTTACTGTGTATTCGAATTTGAATGGCACTGAAGACTACATCGCGTGCAAGCGATTGGCTGTACTTTTGAAGAGCTTCTGCTCTCATTGGACGCTGCTTAATCCCATGTTCCCTTGCGGTACTACCGAGAAAAATCAATAACACAGCATCGATTGGTGGTACTGCCAACCTTATAAACCACATGATAATTATTATGTGTGATACATGACATTGATTTGAGCATGGATCTCATCGCGTGCAGTTTCGCTGTGTTTTAATTCTAATTTTAACTCTAAAAGACAAGCGGTTCTGGGTTTGTGAACTGGCTTGGTCCGGGTTTGAACTCCGACAGGGTGGTTACACTTGAGATATTATTAGAAATAAGAGATGGTATTATCTGTAACACATCTTGGGGAGATGAGAAATATATAAATTTTAATTGGAATACATTAAGGGAAGCAACTAGCTGAACTGGAGAGTTCGGAGGATAATATTAAAATGTTGATTGTGGTTTTCTGTCAGTGCTTGTACCGACGTTTGGGAGGATCTTAACATTGCTTCTTTAGGATGGCCGAAACAGTAGTTACCACCTACAAGGCCAGAGGCGACATCGACACCGCTGTGAGAATCTCAAATATCTGACGGCGTTAAAATGGGTATTGGAAGAAGTAGGATATGAGGACTTGAACTGGATTAATATGGTTTAGGATAGGGGCTTATGGCGTACTTTTTGTGAATTTTATATTTATTTATTTAGTGTTCTGTCTGACGACAGGTCCATACGAACAGGATCCTTCCATCCTTTTTTCGGACTGGGACCTGTTCATATACGTTCTTGGCAGATGATCCAGAAGTGGTTTGCCATTGCCTTCTTCTGTGTGTGAATGAAGTAATTGTTGGGATGCCACGGAGAAACCGGGGAAGCCCCCGGAGGAAAGCTCCGTGTTGCCTAGACCACGGCCTTGCCCAACACAAGTTATAAATTCGGGGCACCGCCGGGAATCGAACCCGAGACCCCAGGATTACAAGGCAAGCGTTCTAACCGCTAGACCACCGTGGCGGACTTTTTTTGTGAATACGATAATGAAATTTCGGGTTGTTGGGGGAAATTCTTGAACAGCGGAGTGATCTACCAGCATCTCGAAGACTGGTCGATGGAATTAGTTAGCTAGATGCTGAAATCACTTCCGTGCGAGAGATACACTTTCGAAACTTCCCACTGTCATAGATGTAGTGAGGTTGAATCAAATTTGGAATTCAGAAAGGTATCGATGTAGTCTAGTTCAGAAAGTGTCTTTACGCGATAATCGATCGATTCAAACGTGTTTTACACTGCCTCACCTTCCCTCGCCCTAGTGCCACAGTTCCATCTCGTTTCAGTACCCGGGACCAAACCCTGAGTTTCGTGTACGTAAGTAGCTAATGGGTGTAAGTAAAACGCATCCAAAACGTAAGCCAAAAGTATTATTATCCGAGAACAGAAGCTAAAAGTAATGTCGCCTGGAAATAATGTTTTTGGTTTGGATGGTATGTGGTTCATTATCTGCTACCCTGATTGCATCCCGTTGAATGTTACTTCTAACGTCGTTGAACGCACGATTTCGTCTCGGTTACTGTACTTCGTATTGCGTCTAGGAGGTCTCAATTTGGATTGTGTTCTTGCTGATTGATGCATTGTGATGTTTCAAGTAGTTATCAGCGTTTCGCAGGAAAGACTTCATCTTCAGTGTATAAAGCAGAATACAGCAATCAAATTGTTCACCATTGCGAAACAAAAAAGGTATCAGATTTTTAAATTAAAACGTAGGAAAATATTAACGAAATGTAGGCTTTGGATTTCGTATGATTTTTAGAATGAATAGTGATTATTTATGTAAACAATATGAACCATTCGATCTTTGTGTGTGTTTTATAGATATAGGATCTGTATTTATAAATATAATTTAGATGAGCTTTGTGCCTCAGACGGTTAACCTGGGACTGATCAATCGTCTTTTGTATGACATCAAGGACATCTGTCGGAAATTCAGCACTCCGTCTTGCCTACAGCCCGGAGGGTTCCTTTTAACTCTTATTTTCTCATTTGCTGCCATAATTACGCAAATAAATGTCTCTTTCGGCCTTATTTCCTGATTTGTTTGGGATAATTCGCACAGATTTTGCAAATAAATTAAGTTATATCTTACGCTTTTTTGTTCCGAGTGTCATCGATAATATTCGATAATACGAACTGTAACCAATTCCATGGGGCAGAGTCCCTGAGAAGCTGATATTTTCTAAAGAATTCGCATTCCCTGCTTTTAATGATCATTACTAGGTTCACATGAAACAATATTCTGGTCCCTCTCCAAAGCCAGATGAATCCACTCGACACACTCTCACCCTTATTTCTATATGGTCCATTTTAATATTTCCATTCATATACGCCTCGACCACATACTTAAATTTGTCAGAGACAAAATTTCGAATCACGAAAAGGGGATACAAAACTGTACATGGCCATAAAATTGTATCTACATTTGTTTTTTTCCTGTAAGAATGTAGGTTAGTATCTAAAAAAATAAAATTCGCTCAAATATATACGTACTCATTGTAGATTTTGGAAGCTCTTAGCTCAAAACCGTGTATACTAACAAGAAATTGAAAATGACGATGATAATAATATCTTGAAATACAAGGACCTTCTCAATGAAATACATAGAATGTGGAAAGTGAAAGCAAAAGTAATTCCAATAATTATAGGAGCAACTGGAACTGTCTCCAAGTCACTCAGAAAATATTTGGCCAACATCCCGGGCGAATACGACATTAAGGAACTTCAGAAAACTGCCATTTTAGGATCTTCATACATCATTCGAAAGACGCTGTCGTAAAATATGTAGTCGTCCCTCACAATAAAACTATATAATAAATGTAACAAGGATTTAAAACAAAATGTATTTTGGAAATAGCTGCTGCACTACGTACCTCAGGGGCAAGGTTTGTCTCGGGTACACGGAAGTAAATACCCCGTAAAATGGTGAATAGATGGAATAATAATAATAATAATTCCAATAATTATAGGAGTTACGACAACTTATTGCCCCTTGTAACGTCAGTTGTCCAAAAGATTGTCCTCATTTACTTAAGTCTATATCGTCTACAATATTTATTGGTTCCAGAAATTCTTCTCATCGCGTTCTGGAATTCATTTGTTTTATATTTCAAAATCTGTTCAATAAGCCTGTAATTTCTGTTCTTAATTCTCCTAGTATATTTTCATTTCTTTTACAGCCCATCCAAGAGTATTTCTCTGTATCATTAAAGTCTTTTGTCAGCGTCTGTAGTTCTTGTTTTGCGTTTTATTTTCATTATGCAAATGATAAAACCGGATAATAAAAGCAGCAAATTTATCTTTCAAAGGCTTTGGCGTGGGTAATTTTTTACCAAATGAGATTTGGCCTTGATGTTTGTGATAAAGATGAATTAATAACAGATTATATAATAAGAACAATAATACGTTGTCACTAACAGAATCCGTATAACATCGCTGCTACGAAAGCTCGCCCTGGAACACGATCCTGAGCTAGTTTGATCCAATTCTGTTCTCAGAACGTACATCCGTAAAACACGACTGTCTTCTGTGGTGTTGCACTGTCTAGTATGGTAGATATTTACCGACGTTTCAGATGTGCTTTCTGCATTCAACATGAGTGTCGAATAACAAGTGATTAAAACATCGGAGCTAAATATTATGAAGCCTATTTAGAAAAATAATATCCCTATTTTGGCTTAATCAGTTTAATTATTTTCATAAAGTATTTCCAAGTTTAAAGAAGATGGCTTGTCTTCTGGATTGTTGCGCCGTGTAATCTGGCATCAGCAGGGACCTCCGAAACGTCGGTAAACTTCTACCAGACTGCACGGCACAACTACCCAGCAGACAGCCATCTTCAGACTCATCGCCGTGAAAACCTCAGATCCTAAATCAATTTCCAAGTTATTCTCCAGTGGAATAGAATTTCGCGATGCTTGAACCAGACTTCCACCTTTCCTTCTGTTTTAGGTGGTACTGACTACTATTTATTCTAAAAACATTCAACTCATTGGAACGTTTATTCTTATTTTATGTTCGTATCACTACTCTACAAACACGACTTCTTACACACGAAATGAACAGTACAACCACGTGTTAACACCACAGAACACACGACAACACGTGTTGGTCAGAATGATTCAAATCAATGTAGGCGAAACGGTTGATACAACAGATCTGTGTTAGTCAGCTGGAGCCTTTGCCATTCCAAGAAACAGCCACCCCCCCCCACCCTCATACTTGAAAATATACAAAGACGGTTACGCCCCCAGAAGAAGGTTCTTGAACTTATGACTAACAATAACGGGTCATTGATGTATTTAGACCCATAACACACCAAAAATAACAAAACATAAACAGATTCCGTGCTCTAATAAATTTAAAACAATGAATGGACTGTGTGTGGGTTCTTTTTCTCAAACAGCCTACTCCAATGACCGTCCCTTCCTGTTCATTGTTTATTCGATCAAGAAAGTGTCGAATGAGTGACGAACTCATATCAGGAAATATGTTGACCAGCGGAGTAACTTTTCAAGAAAGTCTTATGTACAATGCAGATAACAGCTTTATACATTCAGGTACACCATTATTTTTGTCAATAAGGGGTTTGTATTCTTAAATCCTTTGTGTGAACCAGTTCCTTGATTCAAAATGAGAAACCAACATTTAAGAATGCGATTTGGCAACCGCGTACGTAGTAGGGAGATTGTCCCTTCCCAGCTGAATGTGAGGGTGGGTAGTTGATCCCTCGCAACGTACCCAGCCAGCCACCCTACTGGTTGAGGTTGAATGTTCTTGAAGTCACGACCACTGCCATCTCAGTGGCCGTGACCAACTGAGAAGTCCCTCACGATTTCTGGGGCCCAGCGTGGAATTTTACAGCCAGGTTTTGTTTGTGAAATTGTTGGGTTAATCTGTTATTAAATCCATTTGATATTTTGTCAAACAGCGACTAAATTCTTGGTTTGAATCACATCCTGTGGTTTTCTTTAGTTCTTACAGGTGTCAAGCAATACTTTTACATAGATCACAGTAGCGTGTTAATTTATCTGATCTTGGTTATTCAGCGACGCTTTCAGTAACTAATATGTGTCAAATGGTCATATTATAAGTGAATAGTGAACTGAGGATTGATTGGAGGGGCTAAGGAAAACCACGAAAATCTTAGGAAAACCGATATTCGGGTAGAGATTTTAATTCCGTACCTCTCGCGTACGAATCATGAATTTTATCGACCGTTTCCTTTGGTATGACAGCCTCCTTTCATATCTTTAACTATCCAGAATTCATAATCATCTTCCAGTCTCATGCAGCACTGTGTAAGTTGGGCAGTGAAATGTGGTTACTGAATCATCTCCGATAAATCACAATATTAATCCTGTGTGCTTTGAATGTGGAAGCTTCAAGGTCACGTTGAAACCATTTCGGTAATAAAATATTTTTGCAATTCCTCAAAAACAAAACTTCAGATTTTAATGGACCTTTTGTGGCTATTTTCCTGTATATTTTCTGTCACTGTGATTAATGTAATGAGGAGTTATTTATCCCTAGATCTTATTGTCTGGACGTTCTGTCGGCCGCGGTCCCTAAGAGACATCTTTCGGTCAGTGAGTAAAATAACTTCGTACATTTGACACATTAAGCTTCCGAGAAGCATATTCAATTATAACATTAATTTAATCGTAATAGCAGAACATAGATAAGAATACATTGTTTTATGAATATATAGATTGGCCTGAGTAATATTAGATTACAAATTACCGGGTTTATTCTTTGTTTATTGTTGTACTCCTTAAGTTTTTGTGGAGTTTCCCGGATAAACCGGTTCGTCGAAGGCTTCGTATGACTTTAGTGAAGTTTCGACAGAAAACAATCGCCTGCTGTCTTTAAACATAAGTACGCTAAGCCATATGTTGCTTATTATCCGTAAATTTGTGTCTTACTGGAATTAGAATAATCGTGCTTAAGTTTATCTCAGGTTTTCTCAGCTTTGATGAAAGTGTGGGTTAGCTCACTGTTGCTGTCAGGTCGCCTGCACCAATGCAAGACACTTTCATTTGAGCGGAAAATTCGATGATGTTCCTGTCTTGTGTTTACTTTGCGTCACTTTTAGAAATGTTGGGGGGGGGGGGGAG